AGCAATACTTCACGGTGAGTGAGGAGAACGGGAACCTGTACGTGAACGAGAGGCTGGACCGGGAGGAGATGTGCGGCGAGTCAGCGACCTGCTCCGTCAGCTTCGAAGTGCTGGTGAACAACCCGCTGAACATTTTCCACGTTGAAGTGGCGATCGAGGATGTGAACGACAACTCCCCGAGCTTCAGCAAGGCTGCTCTGGATCTCGAGATCAGTGAATGGACGCTTCCTGGTGCTCGGTTTCCCCTGGAGATGGCCCGAGATGCGGATGTAGGAAGTAACTCGCTGCTGACTTATCAGCTCACCGGCATTCCCTTGTTCTCATTGTTTATGCAGGATAAGCCAGGTGGAAGCAAGCAGCCAGAATTAGTACTGGAGAGAGGGTTGGACCGTGAGAAGCAGAGCTCCTTTGAGCTAGTGCTAACGGCAGTGGATGGTGGGGATCCCGCGAGGTCCGGGACTGTCCAGGTTCGCATCAACGTGACAGATGCAAATGACAACCCGCCCGTGTTCAGCAAACGCCTCTACGAGGCGCGAGTTGCAGAGAATTTACCAGTGGAGACAGTGGTGCTGCGGGTACGGGCAACGGATGCTGACGCGGGCTCCAACGGGCGAGTGTCCTACACCTTTGGGAGCATCCCGGATGCCGTCAGGGCATTGTTCGCTATCGACAGTGACAGTGGGAAAATTAGAACAGCGGGTCCCCTCGATTTCGAGGAGAAGAATAAATACATCTTCAGCGTAGAGGCGAGAGACGGCGGGGGGCTCACCGATCACTGTGAAGTACAAATCGACATCACAGACGAGAATGACAACGCACCGGAGATCACAATTCTTTCACTGTCGAGCCCGGTGCCCGAGGACGCTCCGGTCGGCACTGTGGTGGCCCTGCTGAAAGTGAGGGACAGAGACTCCGGTGAGAACGGCCAGGTGTCGTGCGAGCTGTCGGGAGAGGCACCACTGTCGATCGTGGCGTCGTCGGGCGGCTCGTACAAGGTGGTGACGGCGGGCGCGCTGGACCGAGAGCAGGCGTCCGAGCACCGCGTGACGGTGGT